ACGCGAGACCCCCGCGGCGCGTTCCTGCGGCCGGGCGGGGTGGGGCGGGACGGCCGATCGCGGTCGGCCGAGGGGAGCGCGGAGCCGGCGGCGGGGCGACGGGCCGGGCGGCGCCGCTAGGCGGGAGGGAAGGCCCAGCGGCCACGGGGCGCGCCGCGGTCCCGGGCTCTTTGCGCGGCACGCGGCCCGTTGGGATGCGGCCCGGCGCGGGCCCGGCCTCCCCGGGTACTTTTCCACTGGTGCGTGCCATCGCGGGAGCCGTCATCGGTGAGCGGCCGCGGCGCGTCGTGCCGGGAACGACGTGTGAGGCGCTGCGACGCGCGGGTGTCCGTGCCGGTGTCGGCCGCCGCCATCCCCCGTGTTGACGGACCTGCCAAGCGCTGCCTGCGGGACTGTGTTAGGCGGCCAGCCCCATCCGTCCGTCCTCTGAGTCTCATCTCGTCCGCCCGTTGTGTTCTAGAGCTGAAGAAGCGAGCGGTAGTCACGCGGTCGTTTTAATCGGGCACGTCCCCGTTGTTCCTCAAACGAGTGCCTTGCCACGATGCCGGTTCTTGCCGTGCTTTCGGGCGGACGGTTGCAGTTATGTAAGTGTGGCCTTCCCCTGCTTGACCCTGCGTGGAGGGCTGCAGCAGGGACCGAGCTGACCCCACCTCAGCTGCTGTGAGCCCGAGGGGGACTCCAAAGGGCGGGTGGCCACGGCAGGGGACCGGTGTGCTTGTGGCGTGAAGAGCAGTCGTCACGGGCCGTGCATCCCTGACACTTCAGACTGATCCGGATAGGTGCAGTCAGCCATGCCTTACCCCCAGCAGAAGGCCAGTGCCCTCCTCGCAGGCGGTTCTCCAGTGGCACAGTAAGACAAGTGAATAAGCTCTTCATCAGTAGAAGCCTAATGGGCGTTAGTGCAGAATGTGAACCACGCTAACCTCAAATGCTGCAACCAATGTCCTTATGTTGCTGACCTGGTGTGTTGGCAGGGTGTTCCATCTGCTCTACAGCCCGGTGTTAAGATACAAGCTGTATTTCTTTTCCCTGGGGCTTATGTTCTTTGTGTTTTGTATGACGGCAAACTCACTGAGTGAGCCAGATAATTAAAATTTTCTAGTCACAAGAAATGAAAAAATTTGTTCATGTGCTTCCTAGTTAATTTTTAACTATTTGGATCAGCAAACCAATATTACAACAAGAAGGATGCATGCTGTCATATCTGGGGTCCTGAACTGAAGCTGCCTTTGCACTGAAAAGATGATACAGTTAAGGCAAACGATGTGGCTTCCACAAGAGGTCTCAAATGATCCATCTTGGGTCAGCAGATAGTTTTCAAAATCTGAGTATGCAGAATAGCCTTTCTTTTTGTCATTGTTGAAATCTTGTCACAACTGAGAGCTTCTTCATAGCTTGAGAGACTGTTGAAAACAGAATTGTATGATTGGTGCAAATTGAGATAATTTTATTACTGCTGTTTATCTTTTGAACACAAATATAACTTTAATTGCAGTAGTATTTCAGTGAAAGCAAGAGCTTGGCATTCTTTTGTGTTTCTATCCCAATTATTAGCTCTTAAATTTTTTGTATTTAACCACTGTTAGCCTTGTAAATTCATCTTAGAGTTTACGGAAATGGGTTTGTTTGTTTGTCTTTATGGTCTGCTGGAAAAGCCTCTCTAGTCTAGCAGCTAGTGAAACCATTAATTCAGTTACCAGAGGACTTTAAGTTATATGACTGAAGAGAACAAAGCTGGGAGTTCGGTACAGGTTCTGCTGAAAGTCAGCAAGACAGGAATTTGTCACATTTCTGGCTGTAGAGGAGAGTCAGGTTTTTAACACAGATACTTAGAGGATGATACAATCAAATGCCATTTAACCAGGCTTTCTGAGATGTAAACGCGATCTTAATCACTCGAAGTTTGTTAGTCTGACTAGCACTGACTTTTTTTTGTAGCATCACACTTAAGATGAGTGGCTGCCGTGTCTTCGTTGGGCACTTAAGCTCACGTGCTCGGGAGCGGGATGTGGAGAAGTTCTTCAAAGGCTATGGACGCATACGGGAAATCCATCTAAAAAATGGATTTGGATTTGTGGTAAGTAATATCTTACTTTCTCTTGCTTGGAGGCACTAACATTGCTAGGCTGGAGTCAAGGAAGAGCAAATACTTCACATTGCTTTTCAGGTGATGTGATTAATCTTCTCTCCTTCTGTTACTTTTTTCCTTATTTTCTTCCAGGTTTTGCTCAAAGTCTTGGAAATGTTCTAGCTGCATTAAATGCATTACGAATCAGAATGCATTCTTCTGTGGGATTTAGATTTTATCCCTTACTTATGAAGACAGTATATATAATCTGTTATGGCATCGTAAAACTCAACAAAGTCTTGACCTGGAGAAGTTTTTATGACTTCACTTCTATTTCCATTTCACTTCTGGCTTCTTTGGTCATATCTCTAAGTAATGACCTGACACAGAAGCAAGGTAGTTAGCTAAGACTACGAGTGTGTAATAGTTGCTTGCTGAACTTAAGCAGCACAGTTTTAACTGTCACTCAGCTAAAGGTAGGTGTATTCACCATCAGTGTATGTCCGTAAAGCGTGTGTGTCTCTCAGACTACTAAATGAAACACACAGTTTACTGGATCTTACTTTCCCACCTCTGGGTACCTAAAACTATTGTCTGAATCTTTGCAAGCTGGCTGTGGATCAGCCTGGTTCTTATATTCTGAGAATGATCTTTTCTCTGGTGCTGTATTCCAGCTGGGAAGGTTTATGCCGCCCTCATACAGTGACATACGTGCTCTCATGCCATTCATTCTGCCAAGATCATTCCCTAGTGTGAAGCTATGGGAAAAGAAAAAGAAACAGTCTTTGTCTACTTATGCTTTGAATAATATTGCCTCTTAACTCCTACACATACCAGTTCCTGAGTGCACCACATTATGAGGTATTTCTTTTTGCTTACTGGCAGTCAACGACTTTCCTCTTGGTATCTGGCAGTAGATGGCTGCTCTAAGAGCTGAGTGTGAGGGGTATTTTTCAACGCGTCCTTTCCATGTGCCGCTGTTTCTCTGTCGCCTTTCGCTGGGTATCTCTTCTCTTTTTTTGGGGGTAGGGCTGTTGGCTTATTCAGGGAAGAAGTCTGTTCAACTGCTGTACATGAGTCAGCCAGCCTTCTTTCCTTTCTTCTCTGGATCCCCAGTAGTGGCATTTTCTTTTCAGAACTCAGTGATAAGATTGAATAATTGTGCCATAACTCTCAGAAATATTAATTCTTCTGATGAGGAGGAACATTTTTTTCTTGCAACTGAAAGAAACTTTCCTCAGTGTAGCTTGTGCTCTTTGCCTTTTGTCCTGTGCACCCATGTGACTGTTTAGGTATTGAAAGACTCCGACTAGACCCCCTTTGACCTTTCTCTTCACCGGGCTGAATGCACACGACTCCCTGAACCTTTCTTCCTTCATAAAATCACCAGCTTTGGTGGCCCTCTGCTAGTCCTGCTCCAATTTTTCAAAGTATTTCTTGAACTGGAAAGAGCAAAACTGGACACAGCATTCAGGTGTGGCCAAATAAGTGCCAAGTAGGGCAGAAAAACACATCTCTTGATCTGCTAGTGCAGCCCAGGACATGATTTGTTTTCCTTGCTGTGAGGCCATCCTGCTGACTCACACTTAGCTTACACTCTGTGAGGATTCCCATGTCCTTTGCAGCAGAGCTATAACCAAGCTGCTCAGATCCCTGCCTGTATTGTGTCTTGGAATGAATCTGTTCCAGGTGCATTACTTTATATTTTACCTTTTTTAAAGCTTCCAATTCTTGTTGGCACAATCTTTCAGGCTATGAAAATCTCTCTGTGTAGTGGTTTTTCATTCGTTCTCTTCATCCGGATCATTGATAAAAACATTGAGTAGTATTAAGCCTTGAGATACTCCAGCTGTGGCTGTTCAACTTTTGTTTTGCTTATTTAAAAATCTGCGTTTATAAAACCTTTTATATATTAAAAGCAATTCTTATTCAACATTGTTGAGTGTTAAAATATAAAGCATATTTTAACCTGAATCATTTCTTTGGAACAAATTATATTTGCTTTTTCTGTAGATTTCAATACAGAATGTTTTCAAATCTCAAGCCATGAAGCTAATATTTAAAGCTAGATAGACTTGCAGGCATTCAGTGTTTTAGAAACTAGCTGAAATCAGTGAGAGATGTAGATGCTAACTACTGATGTTCTTAAATGGTGGGCCTAAATGATTTTTCCCAAGATAATGTCTTCATCATTTTACAGGATTGT